GCAGTGGCTGCTCCCGGCCACCGCAGCCTCCACCTGCTGGGCTCTGGCGATCCTTCCGCCACAGCCTTCTGAGTAGCCGGAATTACAGGCATGCGCTACCACGCCCGGCTGATTTTGATTCATTGTAGAGATGAGGTCTCGCTGCCCAGGCGGGTCTCGAACCCGCGGGCTCAGTCAATCCACTCACCTCAGCCTCCCAAAGGCGCGGGATTACAGGCTGAGCCACTGAGCCTGGCTGGGTCAAGCTTTCAGTGATTCTGGGATGGGCAAAAGCAAAGATGAATTGACATGCTAAAAATGTGTATATTTTTAGAATTCTGTGTTGGTAAGAATTGATTAATTTATAAATTAGAAAATTAATGTTTTTTGTATTAAAGATAGGAAGTCGGAAATTTCTTAAATCAGTCACATTACTTCTTTGAGCTCACTATGTGCCACATGCTGTGCTGGGATCTGGTCATTTAAAAATGAATAACAAATAGTTCCTGCCTTCCTGGAGTGCACAGTTTAGTGAGAGAGAAGTTTTTGGAGTAGTGCAATTAACCAATGTAAAGTCTCTAGAGAAAAGCCAAAAATAATTTTAAAGCCTTACATCAACCCTATAAAGTTACCAAAAGTGTTTTTTAACTGCAGCAAGTTTATATGTGCAAGGTTTTATAAAGTACAGCCCTCCCTATTTCTGCCATTAATGACTTAATATCATAGAGGTTGTTCTTACAGTTATGCTGTTGACCTTTAAAATAACCATTAATGAATTTATTTTTGTATCATGTTAGAATGTGTCATGCTTGATGTTTGCAATTATCTTGAGACAGTTGAGTGTTGAGGTTAGAGTAACTGCCAGAGCTGGCGTGAGTACCTCTTGTTCCCCTGTGCTGCACCAGAGTTGCGACAGCCAGGCTGCAGCACAGGGGGTGAATGTGAGAGACGTTATGAAAGAGGAGTCAGGAAGCACAGATGACTCTTGAGGTTTCAGACACGGGTGACTGGGAAAACTGTGACACCATTAACAGAAACGGGAGTCAGGAGGCAGAGTCAGATTTGGAGAAAAGCTGAGGAGGGCTATTTTGAGACTTGTTGAGCTTAAAGTGTTAGTAAGTCATTCAGGTAGAAGTGTTTTGCAGGCAACTGGAGATGCTTGCAGGACTGGAATTTCGGAGTGTCACTTGAGGTCTTAAGAGAAGTCTAAGCTTTCTCTGCACATAAGTTATGTTTAAGGTCATCGGACTAGGACAACTCCAAAAAAAGAGCCCAGACCCAAAGATCTGGAATATACCCGTATTTGAGGGCAGGTGGAGGACGTGGAGCCAGGAAAGGGAATTGAAAGTGAGTACAAAACCCATGATTGTCTTGGAGGCCAAGGGAAAAGACAAAGACAGGTGTAAAAGTAGTGGTAGGTGGTACAGAAAAATCAAGAAAAGACTTGATTTGGGCCCCTAGGAAGTCTCTGGTGTCTTTGAGCCTTGTGGGGAAGGAGAACCGGTGTACAGTTAAAGAAGTGGGCCGTAGGAAGCATGTGCCAGTGATTCTGGAGGACAAGGGAAATGCTAACGCTGTGCTTGCAGTACATTCATGCACTGATTTTTCTTAATGTTGATTATTTTCTTAGACAAGTCAGCACAAAATTTAGCATCCAGAAATCTGAAACACGAGCGTTTCCAAAGTCTTAGTTTTCCTCATACAAAAGAAATGATGAAGATTTTTCATAAAAAATTTGGCCTGCATAATTTTAGAACTAATCAGCTAGAGGCGATCAATGCTGCACTTCTTGGTGAAGACTGTTTTATCCTAATGCCGACTGGTATGTATTTTTAGATATGAATTGGCAGGAATCCATTGGCAGATGTTAAATGAAAGCGCTTTATTAGAAATAAAAAGACCACCTACACAGTCTTTCTATCATTTAGGGACCTCTTAAACCTCCCATGCCATAGTAAGAAAGTTTATTACTTCATATCCTCTGCTCTAGTGTTGACATGATAAAGTTTATAGCCCTGTAAGATTTTCAACTCAAAGCACACTGTGTTGAACTGAACTATAATTTTTCTTTGGCATTTTTTTTCTAGTCCAAGTCAGTCTGGAAATTGAACAACAAAAAAAATCATTGTCAGAGGCCATGACCATTCCTGGCAGTTTATTTGGTACAGTCTAGTGTTGTGTAGTGGTTAAAATCATCAGCTCTGGACCCATGGCCTGGGCTTAAAGCACGGCTCCGCTGCTCACAAGTGTCTGACCATGGCAGGACACCTCACTTCCTGGACTTGTTTTCTCATGTGTGCAATGAGGATAAGAATCAAGTACCTGCTTCACAGAGTGGCATGAGGATTAAATGAAAGGCATTTAGCGTAGTTCTTTCTTGGCCCCAGTTTTGAGGAGTCCAGGACTTTTCATTGTACTATTAAAGCTTATGATAGCTATTTAACGATTTATAGTAATCTAAACAGGATAGGAGTATGGGGAATTTGGAGTTTTAATACCTATATATCCTCCCTCTGCCTTTTACTTGACTTGTTGTGACCTTTAGCAAGTTAGTGCCATCTTTTTTTGTTTGTTTGTTTCTGAATCAGAGTCTCACTCTGTTGCCCAGGCTAGAGCGTAGCAGTAGCACAATCACAGCTCTTTGCAGCCTTGACTTCCTGGGCTCAAGCAGTCCTTCTACCTCAGCCTCCCGAGTAGTTTGGACTACAGGTGCACACCACCATGCCCAGCTAATTTTTTGGTAGAGATGAGGTCTTGCTATATTGCCCAGGCTGGTCTTGAATTCCTGGACTCAAGCAGTCCTCCAATCTTGGCCTCCTAAAGTACTGAGATCACAGGTGTGAGCCACCATGCCCGGCCCATCATTAATAATCAGCATTTCAAATTTTATTAACTTGTTCATGTGTGTGTGTGTGTGTTTGACCCTAATTTGGTGTTCTAGAACTGTAACATGGGAAAGGATGTTGGCAATGATCTAATCTAGTGAATTTTCAAGGTTTTCCATGGCACTTTGGAGTTTCAAGGGACATTTTTAAGATCGTTTCTATCCCAACTTCAACCTCTGGATTTGTGTGTGTGTGTGTGTGTGTGTGTATGTGTGTGTGTGTGTGTGTGTGTGTGTGTGTGTGTGTGTACGCGCGTGTGTGTAATATATATATAGATTCTAGGCCAGGCGTGGTGGCTCCTGCCTGTAAGCCCAGCGCTTTGGGAGAACAAGGTGCAAAGATCGTGTTGCGACCATCCTCAATATAGTGAGATCTTGTCTCTAATTTAAAGAAGTAAATAAATTTTAATTCTAGTATCATGATTTTTAGAGACTCTCTTTACTGCCAGAAATATAAAAGTTTGCTGTATTTACACTTCCCAATTAGACTTTTAAAGCAATATCATTGCATCTAAGTCTGCCCTGATTCTTGCTTTTGTTATTATATGTGCCTATGTAAGATATCCCAAAAGATCATTTTTACACATTATTTAAATTGCTGAATTGTTTGAGTCGTATGAGTATTGCAAGTTCTTGGCATTATATGTGTTATCCTTTGGTGTTCTATTAGTTAATAGTTTGTAATATTTTACATGATTTCTTTTGTAACTCTTGCCTCCATGTTCTTGAGATAGTACCTGATGGATATTTTTTTTCATTGTTCCTTTCAGGAGGTGGTAAAAGTTTGTGTTACCAGCTACCTGCTTGTATTTCTCCTGGGGTCACTGTTGTCATTTCTCCTTTGAGATCACTGATAGTAGATCAAGTCCAAAAGCTGACTTCCTTGGATGTAAGTTATAATATAAAAATATTAATAAAAACATGTTTTAGAAACAATTATACTTCAGTACTCTGGACAGCCTTTTTATTAAATAGTTCATAAACTATAAAAACAAAGCATAGCAGTTAAATTAAGTTGTATAGTTAAGCACAAGTTTTTGAAAATTCCAATACAGATAACTTCCTGTAGTTCAATCTGATTTCATTCTACAAGAATGTATTTTAGTAAGAACTTTTAACCTTGCTATGTTTTGCTAATGTAAATGTTTCTTTTACTAATAGAAGAGGATATCTTTTGTTACTACTGCTGAATCAGCATAGTCCTTTCTCCTTTATATCTTCAAATGCGTACACATGCAGGTGCCTGCCCACATATGTTGTTTTTCCTCATGACCGAGTTTAAGGAAGTATGTGAATGAATTCTACTAAATTCTTTACATTGTGACCAAACAGAACTGTTTTCAGGTCTGTGAGTCACCACCCTTCAACAAAACCACTGGTTTGATTTTTCTTCCAAAGAATGTCATAGCGTGGTGATGGTAGCCATTGTTCAACCATTCATAATATTATTGTCCTTCCATTGTCATTATGCATTAAAACTCTGAAGATATTTACCTTTAAAAAAATAGCCATTCATTAGGATTTTAATCTTGTACATACATGATTGGAATCTTGTAGGTGCAAAATTCATAATTATTTACATATATGAAAAGTAAAGCAAGTAAAGAAAAGGAAGTAAACAGTGAGAAGATTGTTTTGAGTTATGCTCAATAATGATTTTTTGAATGTTGATTATTATGTTGAGATGTATTTTCTTTGATAGGTTTGATGTGAGACTTATAAAATGTTTATAAAACCTAAGGATAAATATAATCCTAAATCAGATTGTTGTATAAAATTTAAATTGTTTACTACTTTTATACTTAGATTCCAGCTACATATCTCACAGGTGATAAGACTGACTCAGAAGCTACAACTATTTACCTCCAATTATCAAAAAAAGACCCAATTATAAAACTTCTATATGTTACTCCAGAGAAGGTTTGTATTTATATCATTATATAAAAATATGATATTAAAGTTACTAGGATGCCTATATTTTTTAAACTTTTGGCATAATTTTTTTATGTGACGTATAGTGCAAAGAATTCCTGAAACTTTTACCCAAAAACCCCAAATGGTAACATTTTACTATAATTGCTTTATTGTTCTCTCTCTCTCTCTCATTTTCCTGAAACATTTGATTGAAAGTAAATTGCAGACGGGTTATTCTTTTAACCCTAAATACTTCACTGTACATTTTCTGAAAATAAGGGATCTCTTACATAACCTTAGTACAATTATAAAAATTAGAAAATGTGCATTGATGCAGTACTTAATCTGTAAACCTTATTTCAGTTTCTTTTTTTTTTTTTGAGTTGGAGTCTCACTCTGTCGCCCAGACTGGAGTGCAGTGGCCACTCCCGGCCACCGCAGCCTCGATCTGCTGGGCTCTGGCGATCCTTCCGCCTCAGCCTTCCAAGTAGCTGGAACTACAGGCGCACGCTACCATGCCCGGCTAATTTTTTTGATTTATTGTAGAGATGAGGTCTCGTCAAGTTGCCCAGGCGTGTCTTGAACCCGCGGGTTCAGGCAATCCACTCACCTCAGCCTCCCAAAGCTCTGGGATTACAGGCTGAGCCACCCAGCCTGGCTTCCAATTTCATTAATTGTCCCTAAATGCCCTTTATGGCAAAAGAAAATCCCAGATCATACATTGCATTCAATTGTCTCTTTCATTTCCTTTATCTAAACAGTTTCTCTTTTGTCTTGGATTTTGACTTTTCTGAGGCATGAAGGTCAGTTGTTTTGAGAACTCTCCCTCAATTTGAGTTTGTCATATGTTTCATCTTGATTAAATTCATATTATTCATTTTAGCAAGGATATCACAGAAGTGGTGGTACATTGTCATGCTTCCTATCAAGAGGCACTTGATGTCAATTCATCCCATTACTGATGATGTTGGTTAACTGATCACTTGGATAGGTCTGCTAGGTTTCTCCAATGTAAAGATACTCTTTTTTTTTTTAAATATTGGTCTTCATAATTAGTAGACATCCTATTGTGGGATACTTTGAAACTATGTAAATATCCTGTTACTTACTCATTAGTTTTTTTACCTACAAGTTTTAGCATCCATTGAGGATTCTTCCCAAATCAATTGTAACTATAATTGATACCAAATTATGATTTTTTTTTTAAATCGAAGTCTCACTCTGTCACCTAGGCTGGAGTGTAGTGGCACACTCTTGGCCACTGCAGCCTCAACCTGCTAGGCTCAGGCGATCCTTCTGCCTCAGCCTTCTAAGTAGCTGGAACTAAAGGTGCACACCACCACACCTGGCTAATTTTTTTTTTTATGTATTGTAGAAATGAGATCTCGCCAAGTTGCCCAGGCTGGTCTTGAACCCCGGGTTCAGGCAATCCTCTCGTCTCTGTCTCCCAAAGTGCTGGGATTACAGGCATGAGCCACCAAGCCTGAACAGATTATGATTTTTTTAAATTTAGTTGTCATTTTACTATAAGGAACAGTTTTTCTTTTTATTCCACATAGTTATTGATGTCAGAATGAACTAATGGATTCTTAATTTATTCAGTAGATTACAATTAGTTATTATCATATTGTATTTTGATGTTCTAATTGTCCTAGATGTGCCCAGTCACATCAAGCTGGCTTCTGTGTCCTTTTGATCTGTCCCTGTCAAGATATCAGTGCTAGATGTGCTCATTGCTGCTAGATGTCACTGTGTCTAGGTCCTGTTATGAACAGAGCTATGAAATACATACATATATTCATATAACTTCCCTCAAACAACATGTACTCATACAACACAGATCTGTAACACTGTTACCAATGTAAATGTGTGGTGGCCCTCAGATATATTGAAGTAGATAAAAGTTTTAGAATCATTGACCTAATAAATAAGTTATTTGCTGAAAGCAGGTAAATATTCTAAAATATCTGATTTGCTGTTTTCTTTTCTTTTTTTTTTTTTCAGTCAGAGTCTCACTCTGTCACCCTGGTTGGAGTGCAGTGGCATGCTGATCACTACTACTGCCTTGACTTGCTGGGCTCAGGCTGTCCTTCTGCTTCAGCCTTCCAAGTGGCTGGAACTACAGGCACATACTGTCACACCCAGCTAATTTGTCTTAATTTATTTTAGAGATGAGATCTCACCAAATTGCTCGGGTTGTTCTCAAACCCCTTGTCTCAGGCAATCCTGTTTTCTCCGCTTCCCAGAGAGCTGAGATTACAGGTGTGAGCCACTGCACCCAGCTGGAGTGCAGTGGCATGATCACAGCTGACCACAGCCTCGAACTCATGAATTCAAGTGATACTCCCACCTCAACCTTCCAATGTCTAGGACTTATAGGCAAGCACCACCATGTCCAGCTAATTTTTTTATTTTTTGTAGAGACAAGGTCCAACCATATTGCCCAGACTGGTCTTGAACTCCTGGCTTCAAATAATCCTTCTGCCTCAACCTCCCAAAGTGCTAGGATTACAGGCATGAACCATCAAGATCGGTCACTTCTGCTGTTCTCTTCATAGATTGAAATAAGAATCAATTTCATTTCTTACACTTTTAAAAATTTTTTTGAGTTAGGGTCTCACACTATTGCCCAGTCTGGAGTGCTGCGACACAATCTCAGCTAACTGTAGCCTCGAACTCAAGGGCTCAAGTGATCCTTCTGCCCCAGCCTCCTGAGTAGCTAGGATTTACAGGTGCATGCCCTCATGCCCAGCTAATTTTTTTTGTAGAAATGAGTTCTCACTATATTGCCCAAGCTGGTCAGGAACTCCTGGGCTCAAGCAGTCTTCTTGCCTTGGCCTCCCATAGTGCTGAGATTACAGGTACGAGCCACCATGCCCAGGATAACCAATTTCATATGGAGATGTTAATACAGCTTAAGTTGTAATGGAATTTAAAGGCAATAAAATCATTAAGGTGATATGTTTAAATGTTGCCAGGCGTGGCTGCTCATGCCTATAATCCCAGCACTTTGGGAGACAGAGGCGTGAGGATTGCCTGAGTCCAGGGGTTTGAGACCAGCCTGGGCAACTTGGCGAGACCTCATCTCTATAATAAATCAAAAAATTAGCCAGGCATGATGGCACGTGTCTGTAGTTCTAGCTACTCGGGAGGCCGAGGCGGAAGGATCACCTGAGTCCAGAAGGTCAAGGCTGTGTTGCCTGTGAGTGTGCCACTGTACTCCAACCTGGGCGACAGTGAGACTCCAACTCAAAAAAATAAATAAAATAAAAAATAAATGGAAAGATCGCCGGAGCCCAGCAGGTCGAGGCTGCAGTGGCCGCTCCGGCCACCGCACTCCAGTCTGGGCGAGAGTGAGACTCCAACTCAAAAAATTAAAAAAATTAAAAAAAATTTTTTTAAATGTATTTAAATGTCTAATATATTTCTGGTTTAGGTCTGTGCAAGCAACAGACTGATTTCTACTCTGGAGAACCTGTATGAGAGGAAGCTCTTGGCACGTTTTGTTATAGATGAAGCACATTGTGTCAGTCAGGTAAATGCTTTTTTGTGCATCTTGAAATATCAATATATTTCCAACAGCATATGTATTTTCAGAACTGAAGAAAAGCCCACGGGTGAACTAGTCTGCTATTTTACTGAAGAATAAAGTGGTTCTTAATATGTTGACCAGTGTTGGCTTTTTATAGAAGGAAATTCCAAATAGTCTGAAAAGCAATATTTTTTTCTTTCCAACTAGTGGGGACATGATTTTCGACAAGATTACAAAAGAATGAATATGCTTCGCCAGAAGTTTCCCTGTGTTCCCGTGATGGCTCTTACCGCCACAGCTAATCCTAGGGTACAGAAGGACATCCTCACTCAGTTGAAGATCCTCAGCCCTCAGGTGTAAGTTGTTGAAAGTCACATATATAAACACCCTAGGGCAGTGGTTTTCAGAGTTGCTGCACATTAGAATCACCTGTGGAGTTTTAACAAGCCCAATACCCACACTGTACCCAATACCAGCTAAATCACAATGCTGGGACTGGGAGCCAGTATGTTTTTTAAAAATCCCCAAGTGATTCCAATGTGCAACAAAGTTTAGGAACCAGGGCCCTATGACTTTTCTTCACTTAACTGAAATTCACCCTTTTTCTTGGTACCTACTTTGGAAGTAGGGAAAAAATTGCATCCTGTACCTATAGTCCCGGTACTACACTAACTTTTATTTATCTTATTTTGGATTTCATATATTCTAGAGTATACATGATGAAGTCAACGGATGACCCTGCTTTGTCGTTTTCACCTAAAGCCCCAGTTATATTCAGAATGTTGAAAATAGTCTAGAAACTATGTAGAACAGCTTTTTTACTTTGTCTTCATCTCAAAAACAAAATGCTTCTATAATTATTCAGTAACAAAACTACTTTAAAAATATCCCTACATATATATCTAGGTTGTATTACATTATTGTGTGCTTCTATTTGATTTTGTAGAGCCAGATACATTCTTTGGTAGGTTTATTCACTTGACAAATATTATTTAACATCTGTTGTGTACCAAGATTAAAGTATTTTTTCTCCTCATTTATTAGTATGCGCTTTGAGTTTGAGATATAAACATTAGTATGGAATGCCTAAAGAATAATGACTGAACAGGATATTGGGGTGAATCTTTAAAGCACAGCTTTTGTTCATTTGAAAATAATGACAAACTGGCTCTATAAATATTATAAGCAGTTAAAACAACAGTATCTCTCAAAGGTTTGTGAAAAGGACTGAGAGTTCCGTATGAAGTGGTCCATGAGATTAAGAGAGCTACAGAGGCCTTTGCAGTTATGCTGGCAACTTCTAAGTTATCTGATCTAAAACAAGGAATTCAAGCACTTCAGGTTTCTTCCAGCCTTTACATTGTTTGGTTCTAGTCTAAAATATTGTATTGCTAATAGCTCAATTATATAGCACTAATGGCCTCACTCAAGTGCAAGAAGTTTAGAGTTCTCAGAATTTTATCAACTTATGCCAGATGCAATGTACTGTTCTTTTAGATCAGTTATATTAATTTGCAAATGCCAATGGTTAAATAATATTCTTTTTACCTTTTGAATAACTTTTTGTGAGTATGTGATTTTTGACTTATGTTTGAGTAAACAGTGCACATATTTATTTATTTAGAGCACATTGAATGACTTTTTCTAGCACAGTGGGGAGGAAATCTGCCTGGGAAAGCAAGATTGTAGATTTCTGGACTGTAGCACATGGTGCCTGTACATAATTGGCACTCAGTAAGAATGAATAAATGAAACATGGAGAAATTTTAGTAAATGTGTGTAAAATGTGAAAATTTGGGCATGTCTCTTGACTCCTTACTTCTCTGCATTTAGAAATAGAAGATTTTAAGGAACACTTTCTGGTACACTATTTCTGATCTTTTCTGCCAGTAAGCCCCTGGTTTGGATTAAATTTGCCCACCTACTGCTGTGTTGTGCCCGTGGTGAAGTCACATATCTCTAGGGTTGGAGCCACAGCCCATGTGCTCCTCCCCTCCTGCCAGTCTGATAATATTCTTTGCTTTGGCTTTGGGAAATACAAGGGTGAATAATAAAACAAGGCTTTATTCCATTCCCTTAGGGCCTTTGAATAGGAACTCAAAGAGAGCAGAGAGACATACAGAGTTAACTGTAATACAACAATAATAGCTAACACATATCCAGCCTATACCTATTGTTAGCATTTTGTGTATGTATATATATATGTGTGTGTGTGTTTGTGTGTGTGTGTGTGTGTATATATATATATATATATATATATATATATATATATATATATATATTTTTGTGTGTGTGTGTTGGAGTCTCATTCTGTCACCCAGGCTGGGGTGCAGTGACATGCTCACTGCAGTCTTGACCTGCTGGGCTCAGGTGGTCCTTCCGCCTCAGCCTTCCAAGTAGCTGGAATTACAGACAAATGCTACCACACCTGGATAATTTTTTTTTAATTTATTGTAGAGATGAGGTCTCACCGAGTTCCCCAGGCTGGTCTCAAACCTTGAGTTGGAATCTCATTCTGTTGCCCAGGCTGGAGTGCAAGGGCACACTCACGGCCAACACAGCCTCAACCTCCTGGGCTCAGGTGATCCTTCTCCCTCAGCCTTCTAAGTAGCTGGAACAGGCATGCGCTACTACATCCAGCTAATTTTTTGATTATTGTAGAGATGACATCTCACCAAGTTGCTCAGGCTGGTCTCGAACCCTTCTTGCCTCAGCCTCCCAAAGTGCTGGGATTACAGGCTTGAGCCATCGCGCCTGGCCTAGCATTTTGTATATATTAACTCACTTATCCACACAAAAGTCTTATGAAGTACATACTCCTATTTTCCCCATTCTACAGATGAAGAAATTAAGGCACAGAGAGATTAAGTAATTTGCCCAAGGTCATACACCTTGCAACCTTGCAAGGATTGGAATGAGGACTTAAATCCCAGAAACCTGGTTTCAGAATCCTTCAAATACTACACCAACTTGCAAAAGGAGAAAGTCGTGATTAGAGATGTAAATTACAACTGCAGGAACTCAGGAAGGCACGATTAACTGTAACCTGAAGTAGTAACTAACTGTCAATGAGGATAGGTCAGATAGAGTTTTATAAAGGAACTGGGCTTTGTAGGATGAGTGGTTTTCTAAACAGCTGTATTGAGATGTAATTTATATACCATGCAATTCACTTACTTAAAGTGTACAATTCACTGAAGGTTTTTTGTTTGTTGGTTTTTAGTTTGTTCATAGAGATGTGCAATCATCTCCACAATATAATTTTAGGACATTTTTTTCTCCCCTAAAAGAGACACCGTACCCATTGGCAATCACATCCCATTTCCTCACACCCAGTACCCTAGGCAGCCACTCACTTTCTGTCTCCATGAGTTTTTGCCTATTCAATGGTATTTTATTGCATTTCATATAAATGGAATCATACAATATGTGATCTTTTGTGACTGCTTTCACTGAGCATGTCTTCAAGGTCCATCCATGTTGTAGCATGTATTAGTACTTCATTATTTGTTATTTTCAAATAATATTCCATTTTATGGCTACTACTCTATGTTATATTTATTCATTCATCATTTGATGGACATTCAAGCTGTTTCCATTTTTTAGCTATTATGAATAATGCTACTGTGAACATTTGTGTACAAGTTGTCATTTGGACATACGTTTTTATTTCTTTTGGGTATATACCTAGGAGTGGAATTGCTGAGTGATATAGTAACTATATGATTAACCTTTTCAGGAATTGCTAAACTGTTTTCCAAAATGCCCGTATCATTTCATATCACCTTCAGCAGTATGTGAGGGTTGCAGTTTCTCCACATCCTCATCAACACGTGTTATTTGATTACAGTCATGTGATGTGGTAGGTGAATGGCATTTTAACAGGAAAAGTAAGAACTCGGGGATGAAGTTTCTACCATGTAAGTACAGGCCCAAGGAATTGGACAAGTGGTGAAACATAGAAAGGGATGATGGCTTGAGGCCAGATCATGGAGAGTCTTATGTATAATGATGGTAAAGAAAGTGTGAAGATTGCTGAAGTGGCCATCTCCACTCATCCCTTAAGCATACAAGACACCACACATCCAATGGTAAAGTGTTTGAACTTTATTCTTTAGGTACTTTGACCCAGGAAGTGGCTTGATCTGAACTGCGTGGTTGGATGTTAACTCAGGCAAGGGAATAGAGGATGAGCTGGGAAACAAAAAGAGGTAGGGCAGCCCTTTAGAAACCTATTGTGGTCACCTAGGAGAGAGATGATGGTGATGGTAACAGCAGAAGGGGAAGGAGGGGACAGAGTCAAGAAGAATGGCAGGACTGACAACTAATTGGGATGAGATGAATGAACACACAGTTGAAGTCTGTCTCATGCCATTGACCATAACTGGAAATGGAGGAGAGGAACAAGTTGGGAGGCAGACTGGGTGATGAGTTTGATATTGGATGTGTGGTGTCTTGTATGCTTAGATGGCCACTTCAGCGATCTTCACACTTTCTTTGATCACATGTACCTCCTAAAAAAATGATGTACCACTTGCACCATTTTTAACACAATTAACACAATTTTTCAACATGAGTTTAAATAAAAAGAATGTGATCTATTGTAAATATCAACATTTTAAAGCAAAATGGTTGCCTAGCTCTTTAAAATGTATCCAGTAGAATATAAATATAATAGCAATTTTGTACCTGCTGTCATCCATTTACAAAGCACATTTAAAAACTTAAACTCTTTAGCAGTCAGATTATACTCTTCCTTTCCTCTTTGAACTCATATTTTTCCTTCCACTTTCCCCACAGAATTTTACCCTAAGGCAATATATTTTATGCATTAAGTTTTGTTGCTTATTATATCATACTTCCTGCAGGAAAAATATGCATATAAATTAAAGTTTGTTTTTAATTTCCTATACCAAAATTTTATTTTGTTTTGATGCTTCTCGACTTATGATGGAGCTATGTCACAGTAAACCCATGGTCAATTGAAAATATCGTGTGTCAAAAATGCTTTTTTTTTGAGTCAGAGACTCACTCTGTCACAAGGCTAGAGTGCAATGGCATGCTCACAGCTCACCATAGCCTCAACCTCCTGGGCTTACGCAATCCATCTGCCTCAGCCTCAGCCTCCTGAATTGCTGGGACTACAGGATCATACCACCATGCCTGGCTAATTTTTATATTTCTTTTTGTAGTGATAAGGTCTTGCTATGTTGCCTAGGCTGGTTTCGAAGTCCTTGGTTCAAGCAGTTCTCTCGCCTTGGCCCCCCAGAGTGTTGGGTTAAAATGCATTTAATACACTTAACTTATCAAGCATCATCTTAAATGTGCTTAGAACGCTAACATTAGCCTACAGTTA